CCCACGGCCGATTTCCTGGGAGGCAAGCGTCGTAAGAAGATTGTTGGCGTCCCGGATACGCCGCAGGAGGTGCTGGATATTACACGCACGAAGGTGAATGGGTATCTCAAGGGGGAGAGTGTGCCGTTGAGTGTGGAGGGCTATGTTGATGCGCTTATTGCTATGGCGGTGGATCCGATGAATTTGGCGAGTATGTATATTGGGTGGTGTGCTTTCTTTTAGTGTTGTTGTGTTTCGTTTTAAAAGTCGGGGTATGCGTGGAGGGGTGTATGTCGGTATCGTTAGTTCGTGTTTTGCTAGATGAGGTATTAGCAAATCAGTATCGTTCTTTGTTTCGCATACCGTCCCAAGATGCACAAGACTGTCAACACCCCATTTCAACACCCTGCAGACAAGACTCCGTGCATATACAATTGGCATTACAATACGTAATTGTAAAATAAAGGTAGGTACTCCCATTCTCTTTGGAACCCGGATAAAAAAAAAGAGACCAACGCCTGTAACACAAACTCGTTAAGAAAAAGAGGTTGATGCTACCCAAAAGGGACTCGCTCGAGCGGATATTCAGTCGTGTAAGCATCGTCTTCGTGCGATCGTCTCTTCCGTACCCTCGGACCCAAGCTTGCTTCTTGCTCCCATCAGATCAAAGCCGTAGCATGTCTGTCCCTCGCATCCATAGCCTAACCGCTCCTTCCATGTGCCTGACAATCTCAGTCCAAAATGTCCATCTCCTCTTATTCCCTCTCTCTCCCCGAGTACTCCTCCTTTCTAGCAGCACTTCCCGCCCATACCCGCGTTTCCGTCACCTTGCCCACTGACATCGACCTTGGGAGCGGCGGTCTGATCCGTCCTGGCGGTATCGATAAGGCGCTTCTTGATATCGCCGGCGAGGCTGTAAAACGCCTGGTCGACGTTGATGTTGCTCTTGGCCGAGACCTCGAGGAAGGGGATGCCGAGTTCGTCGGCGAGGGCCTGGCCCTGTTCTGTGGAGACGGCGCGCTTCTCTTCCCAGTCGCACTTGTTGCCGATGAGGATCTTGTTGACGCCTTCGGTGGCGTGTTGCTCGACGTTGGAGAACCATGTGCGGATGTCTGGGTGGTGTTAGTGTTTTCTTTGTTGAGACATTCCGGCCTGTTAAGCTGGGATGATAGAAGGTGTGTGGGTGGGCGGCGGGAACGTACTGTTGAAGCTCCTTTCATCCGTGACGTCGTAAACTAGCAGGATACCCATGGCACCTCTGTAGTACGCCGTGGTAATGGTCCGGAAGCGCTCTTGGCCGGCGGTATCCCATATCTGCAGCTTCACGCGCTTGCCGTCGAGCTCGATGGTGCGGATCTTGAAGTCGATGCCGATGGTGGTGATGAACGAGGGCGTGAACGAGTCTTCGCTAAAGCGCAACAGGCAGCACGATTTGCCTACGCCCGAGTCGCCTATGAGGAGTAGTTTGATCTACGCGGGGGAGAGTGTTAGTGTGGGTCTGTGTATAGGCGGTGGAGGGGCGTTCAGGGTCCAGCATGTATGCGGAAGCTGGGCAGGCGCATGTCAGAAAGAGGCATAGGGCGAAGCTTACGAGAAAGTCATAATTCCTGGAGCCAGCCATCTTGATATGGAGTCGTGGGGTGCGTTATCGAGCGGAGGTGGTTGCGGAGTTGGCGCCCGCCGGTTTGGGGTGTGCGGTGGAGCTGGCGGTGGTTGCGTGGTTGCGGAAGAATGGCGGTGATAGACTCGAGCCTGATGATATGTTGTATGCGTGAGAACAGGCGGGCTTGGGGTGAATGTTGCTGTGTGGCTAACAGCAGGCAGCGAAGTAAACGGCGTGGGAGCGAGTTCACAGGTGCTGGCCAACGTTGGACGTTAGCGCCAATAGTCCGCACGGGCTTCACCACCTCCGTCACTGCAGCTGTCGTCTGCGAGTGACGAGCGGCGGCTGGCTTGGTGGCAACTGCGCATCTGCCTTGACTCGGCTGTCACTACCGGCATCACCACCCAGCACACGAGACACGGTCATGTGCTGGCGTTGAAGAGCCTCATTTTCTAGGTTTTGTTTTGGCCTCGGTACCTACCCACGCGATACTTGTTGAGCTAGTCTTGGATAGTAGACATCTGATCTGTCATGTTCCGCTTACATTTACGAGAACACGGTTCCAAATTACAAGCTTCTTCGTATGTTTGTATTGAAGTGGGTATGTACGCTGATCATAAATGCGCTGTGACTGGATCATCCCAGTTGCAAAGACGCCCTCAAGTAAACCATTTTGAGTACGCCCACCTAATGCGCTCAACTACTTTTTGCTGTCGCTGCAGCCCACTCCTCACATCAACAAGCTCATCTATCTCTACCAGGAAGTCGTGGAAGATGCGTCGGGGTAGTATGCCACTCGCAGCCTGTCGCAGGAGATGCACTTCGCAGAGGAGGAGACCGTGATCCTTGTAGGAAATTTCGCCGTCTTCTGTGGGTGTTGCGCTGGTAAGGATGCGATCGATGTTGCGCAGGATGAGCAGCATGCGGCCCTGCCTCGCCCACATCTGGACGCCTTTACGGCTGCTGAAGACGCCTCGGAGGTATCGGTAGACGCCGATACTGACGAGAACACCAGGCGTCAGACCGATGAAGCCAAAGAGCAACTCCTGGCTCTTGAGAATGCTGTCAATACCGCTCATCGCGACTTCCACATCAACCTTGGTCTTCTGCACCTGGATGAGCAGCGCACTAGCTAGATTACCGACTATCGCGCCCTTGACCGGACTTTGTATGTCCTTCTCGTAGGATCTCAAGACCGTAGTCAGATCGCCTTCGCGTACCTTCGCCCTGATATCGGCAATCTGAGTCTCGTTTAAGGCGGGGCCTTCAGGGTTCTTAACCGCAAAGTCAATGACCATGCGCTCAAGGCTTGCACGGTCAGACTCCAAGCTTCGTTTGCTCATGATGGAAACCTCGCTATCTTCGTTGTGGCGGATGGTACCAATGATTCTCATTGCAGGCTCCACGACCCAATTTGTCCAAAAGTCGATTACAGTCTGGCCTAGTTCGCGTACCCAGGCCAAAATCTCTTCTTTTCGGTTGACAAATATACGCAGGATAGTGGTCGAGGATACGAGGAGCATGGTGGCAGGTAGCCAATACCGGATGAGGATAGATGGACGTCCGTTCTCCTTGACCACAGCGTTGAAGTCTGAGGTGTAGGCAGGCAACGCTTCCTGGAGCAGGTACTGAAGTCGCTCTGCTACATCCGCTGGCTTGAGTGTGGTTGCCGTGCGTTCTCCGGTGGGTTCGTGCAGCGAGTAGAGTTGATCATCTTGAGTAATGCCAGCAACAGAATCGTCAAACTTATTGACGGATATCTCTGCAGCGTTCACGCTTTGGATGACGGCATCCATCAGCGCGATGTTCTTAGCCATGACGCTCTTCCATCTGTGTCCGCTTTGTGCGCCGAGCAGTGGGGGAGATTGGGTGCCATCGTCGTGTACACTGGGATGGTTAGTAGTCGATCACTTTGTACACGGTCGTTTGGTAGCATACCTCTCGTTACCCAGCCCTTCGCCTAGAAGCACACCGAGCGCGTTCGCGTTGATGAGCCGTATCTTCCTCAATGCTGCGCGCTTTCTCCTGCCTTCGTTTCTGACCAGCGCCAACGGGCTCACGACCCTTCGCTGGATGTTGGCAATGCTGCGCTCTTGCACCGCATCCTTGACAAGGCCGTAAAACTGGCTCCACCCATCAGCCAATTGGCCACCCCTCGACCGCACGTCGCGATATATCTCCTGCGACCATTTCCACACCCGAACGGGCGATGTTTGTATCGAGTATAGCCCAGCGAATCGGTAGGTGGAGAGGATATCGTCCCAGTACCACAGGTCGTCTTCCAACGGGATAGTCTGTTCTAATATCGTATTCAGAACCTGTCCGTACACCTGCGTCGTCGCCTTGCTGACTAGCAGCCATTCCAGTTCATGTTCGTAGCTCGCATCCTCGTAGCTGCTGGCGATGTTGGCACGCTGCAGCGTCTCGGATATGCGTGCGATGGAAACAAGGCTGTGTTTGGATGACGCGGTCGTAGAGAGCGACTTGATGAGGTACTGCAGGTGCGCGATTCGTGTCGTCTTGGTGGGGTCGTGGGCTTCCTCGGCGGTGATGGAGAAGCTGCCTTGTCGTGTCGCCGACAGCTGCAGCCGGTCGAGCTGGCTGTCAATCCGACGCACTTGGCTACCAGTCTGTTAGCGGAGACGATTGCACCATGTCAATACTTTCAACTTACTCAACCACGAAAGACATGGCTACCGGCGCGTGAGCTCTCACATGGAGGATGCGGCGGGATTATTTTGGTACGAGGGGATCTGGAGATCTGAACCGGGATGACGCGCCCCCACCCGCTGCCAATGACGTTCTAGGCCTGCCATCAATCCATCACCGCCAGTTGCACGCACTTTCCATTTCCTGCCACATGTTTCCTTCTCTCCAACACACAGAGACGAGCCAGCTACAAATGCGATGTTTGTATGTGACATGCTCCGACGTCTACCACTCGATAAACCTGAGTAAACCTACTCATCCGATAACGCGAACACATAAACGCCTTTTAGGGGATCAAGCTAATGCAACTGGACTTGAAAACTAAATTGGTATTCGAGTGTATTTGACACGCCATTCCCTAATCCGATGCCTATCGCTCATTCTAACGACGGTGCCTTCTACCCCAAGCAAGTCCGCATGACAGTGAATCTACCATCGCTCGCAGTTTTCTCTATGACGTCGCAGCAATTCTTCTATAATAACAAACAACTATAGCCAGACTATTGAGCGGCTGCAACCAGACCTGGCTGCTGGACGCTTCCGACCGACCGTGCCACAATGCACTCGCAGCAACACCATCTCGAACAGGAAACTCGTCTCCGACCCAAGAACCAGTCTAGCGGTCTCCCCTAAAAGCAAACAAAGGCACAAAAAAACGGCGTCCATCCAATTTCCACAGCCTGTCGGGTTCGAAACAGTGGTAGAGGTGCTAGCTAGCGACGCGAGCGCTCATTCGGACCGAGGGCTGATCAGCGACATCGTCCAAATCCGATTCCATGGAACGCAATTGCAAAGCGCTTGCCTCGTCGTCGGAGAGACGGGCGCTCATTGGCTCCAGCACGGGACTTGCTGAACGGGAGAGATCAACTTGCGGCACAGTCAATCTGATACCGTTTGGCTGGTCAGGGGCTAGCAGGGTCCCCTCGTCCACAAGCGAGTCGCGCTTTCTGGGGAGCTTCTGGCGCATGCCTAGTTCGGAGCCTACGCGCTCGATGCTCTTGAAGTACTGAGGGTGTTAGTTGACGACTAGAAGAGAAGGGTGTCGGTGGGCGTACCTTGACGGTTTTGACTTGCAGCTCCAGTGTAGCGTCTTCGTCGACGACGATCATCGGGTGCGGGTGCATCTGGAGACTGGACAGCGTCCACATGTGGTTCACGCCGCCTTCGATGCACCGCTGGAGGGCTAGAGCCTTGTGTGCGCCTGTGATGATGATGACGACTTCGCGCGCCTGAGGAACATTAGACATCGTCGAAGCACTTGGCGGTATGACTTACATCAAGGACAGTCTGCACGCCCACGGTCAACGCCATCTTCGGCACCTGATTGAGGTTATTTCCGAAGAACCTTGAGTTGGCCAGAATGGTATCGTATGCAAGAGTCTTCACGCGGGTCCGAGACTTGAGGCTGGAACCAGGCTCGTTGAAGGCAATGTGTCCATCTGGCCCGATGCCGCCGAGGAACAGCTCGATGCCACCAGCACGTTGGATCTTCTCTTCGTAGTCATGGCATTCGACTTCCAGGTCAGGTGCGTTCCCGTTGAGGATGTTGATGTTCTCGGGTTTCACGTCGACATGGGAGAAGAAGTGCTTATACATAAAGCTGTGGTAGCTCTCGGGGTGATCACGCGGGATGCCGACATACTCGTCCTGATTGGGTCAGCATCACTCTACATCACGCTGCTGTGAGACATTGGACGCAAGGGTGCGGCGCCATATGCAGGGCGGTAGTTCGTACCATATTAAACGTGACCACATTGCGGAAGGAGACTTGGCCCGCTTTGTGGCGCTGTACAAGATGCTCGTAGATCAGGACAGGGCTGCTCCCAGTAGGCAGACCTAAGACAAACGGTCTTTCTGGTGTTGGGGCAAAGGTGTTGATGCGCTCTATGCTGCGGCGTTAGTCGATATTAAGACACAACGAAGGAGCGAGGAATGCACCAATGACATAGTCGGCGATGTATTGGGACGCAGCCCTTGGATCGTCTCGAATGATTAGCCGCCTATAAGCGGTAAGCCGGGTGTCAGAAAACAAAGGTGTGCATGCTCATACATGATGTATGTATTGTTTGTGCCACTTGCAAGGACTGTGTGCGGAGTGAGGGGTCCAAGGTCATTCCTGCAGCGGGATGAGGGCGATTTCTATGAGGACTTGAACAGCTTCACGTCATTCTGGGGCAAGGTAGGATCGTGAGCTCGATCATCATCCAACGTCTCTTCATCGAAATGACAACGGCCAAACTTTCCGCATCTGAACACGTTCTCTGCAGCGCTCTCTGTATCGGTCCGCATGGTCGCGGTGCGTCATGCAATGGACGGTTGAGGGTGAACGTAGTGGTACAACGCGCCTATCTGCACCACCTTGGGCCGTGGACCCCAGTTCACTGCCATGTGCAATGTTACAGGAGCATAGCGGGGCGTGGTCATCACCATCGCGTGTGATAGCAGTGGGAACTGAGCCGGGCGTGGGCCGCAAACTAGCCGTCACGGGCAGCCAGCAACGAACATCACGATAGCAGGCGTCACTGATAAGGCCTTGGTGCTGATGGAGTCGCAAAAGGACAATGTTACATTTCTGACTCGGGTGGTGGCGGGCGGAGAGCGTTGCACTTGTGGCTCTAGTGGGCGTCTTCTAGCTCGCGCAGCCCACTCAGCCCAGGACCGGGGGCTCAACCAACAATGTGGTCGCAGGCGCATGCAGATCCATGCATCGTCGATAAGCAGGCCTGCAACGCCCCGCTTTGACCTTCGATGGCTGTCCCGAGAACCACTGACGGCCACAGTCCGGGCACCTGTAGCCGGCGCTCAAGGCTGCTGACGGCGTTGTACATACGGCTGGCGCTGCGGAACACGGATGCTTGTTGCCCTTTGTGCAGTGTCAGCCTGCGCCAGCGAATCCTTGACCGACGGCTGTCACCTTTGTGTGGGCTTGCAGTCGTTTATCTCTTTGTGGAGGCCAGGCTGTGTCGCGTGCTGTGTCCGCCTCGCTACCCCGATGCAGGTTGGCTGGGGAGATTTGGTCGTGAATGGACCGTGTGAGGACCCTAGCTGACGGTCTGCTTAAAACTGACTGCCCCTCGCCTTCACCTTCGTATCCAAACCCTCGTTTAATTATAGTCTGCTGCTACCGTCGTGTGGTCTGAGCGCGAGCATCTAGTATCTTTATTGTAGCCTGTCTGCTCTCACCTTCTGCACCAACGACGACGTGCACATCTCCGTCTGTCGCAAGGCTCAACTCCGAATCGCGCGCTAATCGCCGGCACAACACCCACACTCACGGGCATCAACATGGCGACCACCGAGGAAAAACAGCCTCCGCACGCGGTCAACTCTCCAGAGCACTCATTGACTGACACCAACTCAAATGAGCTCCCTGCCTCGTGGAAATACAGACGCTTCACCGTTCTCGGTTTCAAGCTGCCATGGTTCGCGTCACCACCCGTCCAGCTGGTCATTGTCTCCTTCGTCTGCTTCATGTGCCCGGGCATGTTCAATGCTCTGAACGGCATGGGTGGTGGCGGTCAACTTGACCCGACTGCCAACAACCGGGCCAACACGGCTTTGTACTCGACCTTTGCTGTTGTCGGCTTCTTTGCCGGCACCTTTACCAACAAGCTTGGCATTCGCACTGCTCTGTCGTTTGGAGGCGTCGGATACTCCATCTACGTTGCTTCCTACCTGTGCTACAACCACACTCAGAATCTGGGCTTCACTACCTTTGCCGGTGCTCTTCTCGGTGTATGCGCGGGTCTGCTATGGTGTGCGCAGGGCGCCATCATGATGGTAAGTTTTGACTGCACGAAGTGCATGTGAGACATATACTGACTTCGTACCTCTGCAGTCGTACCCGCCAGAGGATTCCAAGGGTCGCTACATTTCGTGGTTCTGGATGATCTTCAACCTTGGCGCTGTTATCGGCAGTTTGGTATGTTTACTTTACTTTGAGACCCTGAGAAGTCTAGTTGAGAACTACACGCTAACTCTACCAGATTCCGCTGGGTCAGAACATCAACACCAAGACTGCCGGTACAGTCAACGACGGTACCTACGTCGGCTTCCTTGTCCTCACGATCCTCGGCGCTGCCCTCTCATGGACCCTTGTCGACGCGAAGGATGTCATCCGCGATGATGGCTCCAAGGTCATCGTCATGAAGCACCCGTCGTGGAAGTCGGAAATCGTTGGTCTCTACCAAACCTTCTTCACCGACCCGTACATCATCCTTCTTTTCCCCATGTTCCTGGCATCCAACTGGTTCTACACCTACCACTTCACCGAGATCAATGCTGCATACTTCAACGTCCGCACCCGAGCGCTCAACGGCGTCGTCTACTACATCATGCAGATCGTTGGTGCCTACGTCTTTGGTTACGCGCTCGACATTAAGGGTGTCCGCCGTACCACTCGCGCTAAGGCTGCGTGGGGTGTACTTTTCGCCACCATCATGATCATCTGGGGTTTCGGATACATGTTCCAGAAGACCTACGACCGCGCCTGGGCAGAGGACGAGACAAACGAGAAGAAGGACTGGTCTGACGCAGGTTACGCCGGCCCCTTTGTCCTCTACATGTTCTACGGATTTTCCGATGCTGCTTGGCAAACCTCAGTCTACTGGTAATTCCCAATCAAGCACCAACATATTAAGATCGTCATGCTAACAAACATCAGGTTCATGGGTGCTCTGACCAACAACAGCCGCAAGCTCGCCAACTTCGCTGGTTTCTACAAGGGTATCCAGTCAGCTGGAGGTGCAATTACATGGCGTTTGGACGACACCAAGATTCCCTTCATGACCATGTTTGCTAGCAACTGGGGACTGCTCGCGGGCAGTTTGGTTGTTGCTCTACCTGTCATTCTCTGGAAGGTTGAGGATACCGTTGCCATTGAGAAGGACATTGCTTTCACCGACGAGACAGTGGCGGAAGTCGCCCCCAAGGCGGTTGTTCACTCAACGCCTGGTGACGCCGAGAAGGTCTAGTCAGGTCTTTGCATGATTTTCATGATCGGGACTTCATGGGTAATGACGGTGTTCTTCAGCGGTACTTGTTAGTTTATGATACCTGGGCTCGAGTTGCATGGCGGGAATAGGGTCGTTTCGTGATAGTGCTACGAACAGCAATTCCCGATGTTCCTAACGAATGAACATCTACTTTCATTATTCACATGCTCAAAGTTGATTGTTGGTGCAAGGGTATGCAGTGTGGATGTGGCACAGTCACGGCGTGGACGGCGTGGTACACAACAGCCGTTTCATCTCGCTGACATCCAACGAAAACCAACAAAGTACCGAGCGTCTGTTACCGAAGAATTTGGAGGACCAGTGAAATGTGCAGGACAAGGTCAGCAACCTACGCCCCAACACGACTTGACACGTACGCGCCGCAAAGAACCCAATCCTCCTCCGAGACAATCCTTTGCCCTACACATCCCCCATCGTATCAAGTGCATCACGGGACTAACTTCACCGACAGCTGATAGCCCCTTCCAGACTACCAAGCTTTACGATGCATCTGTCACCGAGCCGGACCGAGGTTGCCACTGCCCAGGACGCCTGATAATAGACCTGCTAGACCGCGACCCACGCCCTCTCCGGATACGATGTTTCAATGGGGCCTCACGAGTTCTCGAATCCACCCTCGCGGGATCGACATGCCGAGGAGAGCCACGAGGTAAGAGACGGTTACAACGGAGTCGTGCAGCAGGGGCGCTAGGGGTATGTGGTGTCATCTATTCCCGTGATGCTCGAGCAGCTATCATGCAGGAAGCCTAAGTGCGCTGAGTAAGCGCTACATGGACTATCTTTAATGTTGAGCACTCTATTGGGGTTGAAAGTATTCAGAGACTCAACGGCCGCGAAGTTGCTAGTCAGATCTGATCGAGCCTTGGCACTAGACAGCGGGAGGCACGTGCTCTCCGCTCGTCATGCATCAAACGCCGTCTGGTCTTACTGGCTGCTCCGTTTGGAGCCCACGTGAAGCTCTGCGATGATCGCCACCGGCGCATAAAGCCTGCAATATGGTTGAATCATACCGCGGCTAAGTCGTCCACCGAAGTCCCATCGTAAACGCTTACGGCAGGATTCGCGTCCCAATGCGCTAGTGGACGTCGCCGCCCAGCAGATGTAACCGTACCGTAGCAATGGCCGCTCGTCAAACTTCTACGAGACCCCACCAACCCTCGACATGCCAGCAACGCCATGTTTCCGCATATCCATCCAGCGTGCCTGGCGCCAGCGACACGCTGTTGACTGCCGCCCACCGCCAATACATCAGGCCCTTCCGGCTTCCTTCCCTGTTTCCATTTCCTCTTTGGCCCCCGCGATCGCCCATACGTGCTTGCCTGCCGTGCCCCAGCAGCAGGCCTCGCATACCAGTCCCCGGAGCAATACCTAACTACGTTCGCTAGTGGATACAACCTCTTTGATGTTCTGAGAAGCCATACAACTATGCTTAAGAGCCTTTTGCGACATCGGTTCACTAATGCTCCCGGCCCGCGTCTAGTCTCCGTTCACTACGACATTTTCAGACTTTGAACACTCGCGCTGGACATTTGCGATTTAATAGAGCGTCTACAAACAACATTCGTTCGCAAATCATACCATCGTCACCGTCTGCCGGACTTGCCTTGCCCCTCCATGCCACCTCTTCGACTCAAGCGCAAGAGCGGCCGCGTCACCCTCGTTCCAGAGTCAAACAACTCTCGTGACTTGCATCAAGCGTCAATCGAAAACAACAATCGTTGCT